TGAGAGGAGGGCCCCCTCAGATGATTGCAATGGTCAAATGGGATTATAAATTGGGATGTGGGCTCTCAAATGGTTTGGACCAGAACCATTTAGGGCTTTATAGGTAATAACCAGCAATTTGCACCGGGATTGTGGCGCAGTTGGCTGAGTGTCAGCTGCATTAAAGATCACTCTGACCAAAAGGTCATGAGTTCGAAGCCCGGGTTGGAGTGGGCTTCCAACTAATTGTGTGTAGTGTGTTGTCAACCTTTGCAACCCGAAAGACAGTTGCATCTGTCAAGTAGGAAAATTAGGTACCACCTTAAAGTGTGGGGAGGCTAAATTAACTAATTTATGAGGCCATAAAGAAGACTCCAGCAAAGCATTCCAGCGGGGAAGCATGCGGGGAATGCGGAAGTACTTCATCAGCGTCGCAGATGGACAATGAAAGCGACAGCTCCCCTGGCGGCCAGAAAAAAAAGTTAAATAGCCTCTGTGTATGTCTGTATATGTTTGTATGTCAAAATTGGCATTGAATGTTTGCCATATATGTGTAATCTGCCCTGAGTCCCCTACGGGGTGAGAAGGGCGGAATATAAAAGCTGTAAATAAATAAATAAATAAATAAATAAATAAATAAATAAATTTGTATTTAGCACCATTGTGGGCACCACAATTGAAGGGAGATGTTGACAAGCTGGAATGTGTCCAGAGGAGGGCAACTCAAAGGATCAAGGGTCTGGAGAACAAGCCCTATGAGGAGCGGCTTAAAGAGCTGAGCATGTTTAGCCTTCAGAAGAGAAGGCTGAGCGGAGACATGATAGCCATGTATAAATAGGTGAGAGGAAGTCACAGGGAGGAGGGAGTGAACTTGTTTTCCGCTTCCCTGGAGACTAAGACATAATGGAGCAATGGCTTCAAACTACAAGAAAGGAGATTCCACCTGAACATTAGGAAGAACTTCCTGACTGTGAGAGCCGTTCAGAAGTGGAACTCTCTACTCTCTTTTAAGCAGCTTTTAAATAGAGGCTGGCTGGCCATCTGTCGGGGTGCTTTGAATGCAATTTTCCTGCTTCTTGGCAGAATGGGGTTGGACTGGATGGCCCATGAGGTCTCTTCCAATTCTAGGATTCTATGATTCTAATGGGCTCAGTGCTGAAAGTGAAGAGCAAGCAGCGTAAGATGGGCAAAGTGGCTTGTGTAACGACATAATATGATGACGAGGCATTTCCTGGTCTTCTAAGAGCTATTGACGGAGTAGTGTCAAGATCTTGGGACGTTTCCATGGACCTGCAGAGAAAAGAGAAAAATATGTATGACCTGACATGATGTAGACATGGAAGCCACTGTGCATGACCTGAGAAGCTGTCAGAATGGAACCAGCTATGTGGGACCATAAATGCTGCAGAAATAGGCCTAGCTATGTCAGATAGAAATTCATTGTTGCTGTGGCCACCCTTCCCTCCCTCTTTCCTTCTTTCTTTCTCTCCTTCTTTTCCTCCCTCTTTCCTTCCTCCCTCCTTTTTTCTCTTTCCTTCTCTCTTTCCTTCCTTCTCTTCCACTTCCCTTCCTTCCCCACCTTTTCTTTCCCTTCCTCTTTCTCCCCATTCTTCCTTCTCTACCTATTCTTGGACTGCAACTCCCAGCAGTCCTCTTGATCGATCTACCTACCTATCTCCATCTAATCTATCTATCTGGAGGATTGATGGGAGTTGCAGTCCTGGAATAAGAAATTGGAAATATGCAGGGGTTGGGATGCTCTCAAAGAAATCCAAGAAAGCGTGCAGCTTGGAAGCAACACACTTGGATCGTCCTCCAAATGTGTTCGAAGCCAGCCCGGGTTGGAGTGGGTTTCCAACCAATTGTGTGTAGCCTGTTGTCGACCTTTGCAACCCGAAAGACAGTTGCATCTGTCAAATAGGAAAATAAGGTTAAAGTGTGGGGAGGCTAAATTAAGTGATTTATGAGGCCATAAAGAAGACTCTACCAAAGTATTTCAGCGGGGAAGCATGCGGGGAATGCGGAAGTGCTTCATCAGCGTCACAGATGGACGATGAAAGCGACAGCTGCCCTGGCGGCCTGAAAAAGTTAAATAGCCTCTGTGTAGGTCTGTATATGTTTGTATGTCAAAAATTGGCATTGAATGTTTGCCATATATGTGTACATTGTAATCCGCCCTGAGTCCCCTGCGGGGTGAGAAGGGCGGAATATAAAAACGGTAAATAAATAATAAATAAATAAATCCTCTCCTAAAGGGCCTGGTCTAGGGGATGCTGGGAGCTGTAGTCCGGAAGAGAGTGTAGATATACTATTGTGTGTTTTGTTTGCCAGGGGAATCGTTTTTGTGCATGCGCTGTAGCGATTTTTTGCTCTTTTTTTGGCTTTTAAAGTCTCTTTCGCTGTGTTTTTCAGTGTTCTTATGAGTGATGGTCACTCGTTGGCCTGATAGGTGTCTTGTGTCCAAATTTCGTGTCAATTCGCCCAGTGGTTTTTGAGTTCTGTTAATCCCACAAACAAACATTACATTTTTATTTATATAGATTATTATTATTATTATTATTATTATTATTATTATTTCCATTCACTGGACCAAATTGGGCACATACCCAATACGCCCAAATTTGAATAATGGTGGGGTTGGGAGGGGGTCGATTTTATCATTTGGGAGTTGTAGTTGCTGGGATTTATAGCTCACCTACAATCAAAGAGCATTCTGAACCCCACCAACGATGGAATTGAACCAAACTTAGCACACACAACTCCCATGACAAACAGAAAATACTGGAAGGGTTTGGTGGGCATTGACCTTGAGTTTGGGAGTTGTAGTTCACCTACATCCAGAGAGCGCTGTGGACTCAAACAATGATGGAACAGGACCAAACTTGGCACGAATATCCAAATTTGAACACTGGTGGAATTTGGGGAAAATAGACCTTGACCTTTGGGAGTTGTAGTTGCTGGGATTTATAGTTCACCTACAATCAAAGAGCATTTGAACCCCACTAATGATTGAATTGGGCCAAACTTCCCACATAGAACCCCCTGGTGGTCTTTGGTGACCCCTCTGACACCCCCTTGCGACCCTCCCTGATATAGTGCCATGTGTCAAGATTAAAAGCCTCCTGATATTTTGGATGGAAACTGAATCTATGAGTTTTCTAAGTGGTATGCTGAACAAGGTCAGTCATTGCCGTTATATGTACTCTGCTGATAAGAACTCTGATGTTTTTGCTTGCCTCTGAGGCATTTCGTCTAGTTTGCAGCATTTCCAAGGAGGGCGTGATTTGTAAACTATAATTCACGTGCCTATTTCTCAACATGCTATGCAAGACCTGAGAGGCACTGTGCAAGGGTAGGCGCAATATTTTAAACTAGATTCCCAACAGATGAGGTTTTTGAAAATCTTCCATTAAGGCAAACCAAGGGAGTCCCTCGGACTTGTAAATGGAAACTTTTCCATGCACACTTCCACGTTTTCCTCTTCTCCCCTTCAAAGTCTTGCAAATATGCATTTCTATACTTCTTTTTCATTGACTGCTTTGTTTATCTCAGGAACCTTTGGCCCTCCTGCAAACCTTGGGACCTTTCTCTTTGCACATAGAGCAAATGCCTGCTTTCTCTCTTCCTGGGGGTGGGCAGTGGGGTGATTTCCTTACTGAGCTCTGCTTTACTTTACTTTACTGAGCTCTGTGAGTGCAGCATTTTTCCGAATGAAGCAGAGAGTGCTTGAGGACTGGGGCATCCGTAAGGAGACCAAGGTGCTTGTTTATAAAGCTATTGTCCTCCCAACCCTGCTATACACCTGCGAAACGTGGACTGTCCACAGACGTCAACATTGATACTGAAATACAACACTGCGTGAGCTCTGCAAGTGCAGCATTTTTCCTAATGAAGCAGAGAGTGCTTGAGGACTGGGACATCCGTAAGGAGACCAAGGTGCTTGTTTATAAAGCTATTGACCTCCCAACCCTGCTATACACCTGCGAAACGTGGACTGTCCACAGATGTCAACATTGACACGAAAATATAACACCACCTGAGCTCTGCAAGTGCAGCATTCTTCCGAATGAAGCAGAGAGTGTTTGGGTACTGGGATATCCATAGGGATACCAAGGTGCTTGTTTATAAAGCTATTGTCCTCCCAGCCCTGCCATACACCTGCAAAATGTGGACTGTCTACAGATGTCAACATTGACACTGAAATACAACACCACCTGAGCTCTGTGAGTGCAGCATTCTTCCAAATGAAGCAGAGAGTGTTTGAGGACTGGGACATCCATAGGGATACCAAGGTGCTTGTCTATAAAGCTATTGTCCTCCCAACCCTGCCATACACCTGCGAGACGTGGACAGTCTACAGACGTTACATGCAACTCCTGGAACGATTCCATCAGCGCTGCCTCTGAAAAATCCTGCAAATCTCTTGGAAAGACAAGCGGACAAATGTCAGCATGCTGGAAGAAGCAAAATCCACCAGCATTGAAGGGATGGTCCTCCGCCATCAACTCCGCTGGACTGGCCATGTTGTACAGATGCCCGACCAAAGCATTTGCTCTACTCCGAACTCAAGAACGGAAACAGAATGTTGGAAGACAGGAAAAGAGATTGAAAGATGGGCTCAAAGCCAACCTTAAAAACTCTGGCATAGACACTGAGAACTGGGAAGCCCTGGCCCTTGAGCGCTCCAGTTGGAGGTCAGCTGTGACCAGCAGTGCTGCAGAATTTGAAGAGGCATGAATGGAGGGTGAAAGAGAGAAACGTGCCAAGAGGAAGGAGCGTAAAGCCAACCCCGACCGGGACCGCCTCCCACCTGGAAACCGATGCCCTCACTGCGGGAGAAGATGCAGGTCAAGAATAGGGGTCCACAGTCACCTACAGACCCACCCCCAGGATACTACACTTGGAGGACCATCATCCTCGGACTTCGAGTGATCGCCTAAGTAAGTAGGTAAGTAATATCTCCTTTTCACTCACACCAGCAGCAGTAATAGTAGTGCAAAACTCCTGTCATCTCACCTTGTTGTCTTGGCGAGTCCTCAAATGCCGAATCAATTGTCGTTCCTCTGTAAGGTTCTGCTCAGGAATGCTCCAACTGCTTGATGCTGCAGAATTGTCCCCTGTGAAATGAACCACAAGACCAGTTATAATGCCAATGGAGGACCCGGATTCTGCCCTGTAATTAATAAGGGAAAATTGGTACCTTCACTCTGGTCAGAGATGCATCTGCTTTCCTTACAGTGTAGACACAGGCAGAAGAACATAACAAGGATGCCAACGAAAATGAATGGGAAAATAACTGGCCACCAAACTCCTGCAAGATATTATTATTATTATTATTATTATTATTATTATTATTATTTCACCTTTTTTCTTGATGTAGCTCTTACATACTTAGGCAATCCCTCGTTGTCCGAGTAGGATTGACTTCCAAGATCGGTGTCCTGGCGGTGGGTCCGTAGGTGACTGCGGAGCCCGATTCTTGACCCGCGTGTTCTCCCGCAGTGAGGGCATCGGTTTCCAGATGGAGGGCAGCCCCGGTTGGGGTTGGCTTAATGGGCCTTCCTCTTGGCATGTTTCTCTCTTTCTCCCTCCATTCGTGCCTCTTCAAATTCTGCAGCACTGCTGGTCACAGCTGACCTCCAGCTGGAGCACTCAAGGGCAAGGACTTCTCAGTTCTCATTGTCTATACCACAGTTTTTAAGGTTGGCTTTGAGCCCATCTTTAAATCTCTTTTCCGGCTCACCAACATTCCATTTTCTGTTCTTGAGTTCGGAGTAGAGCAACTGCTTTGGGAGACGGTGGTCAGGCATCCGGACAACATGGCCAGTCCAGCGGAGTTGATGGCGGAGGAGCATCGCTTCAATGCTGGTGGTCTTTGCTTCTTCCAGAACGCTGACATTTGTCCGCTTGTCTTCCCAAGAGATTTGGAGGATTTTGCAGAGGCTGCACTGATGGAATCATTCCAGGAGTTGCATGTGATGTCTGTAGACTGTCCACGTCTCACAGGCATATAGCAGGGTTGGGAGGACAATTTATTTATTTATTTACTTACTTTGCTTGTATACCGCAGTTTCTCAGCCCGTAGGCGACTCAACGCAGTTCACAACAAGAGCAAAAAGTCAATCCAACAACATACAAAATTTAAAAAACCATTAACAACATTGTATACATGGTAATAACACATCAATACCAACACATTAACAAATCGTGATCCAAATTCGTCATCCATAGTTCCGTTCCTATATTCCTATATCCTATATTCATCGTGTACATTGCACTGTTTATCCGAACGCCTGTTCAAACAGCCAGGTTTTTAGTTTTCTACGAAACACCATTAACGAAGGGGCTGATCTAATGTCCATGGGAAGGGCATTCCACAGCCGAGGGGCCACCACGGAGAAGGCCCTGTCCCTCGTCCCCGCCAGCCGTGCTTGTGACGCAGGCGGGATCGAGAGCAGGGCCTCCCCAGAAGATCTTAGAGTCCTGGTGGGTTCATAGACAGAGATACGTTCGGATAGGTAGCTTGGGCCAGAACTGTTTAGGGCTTTATAGGCCAACGGCAGCACTTTGAATTGAGCCCGGTAGCAAATCGGCAGCCAATGGAGCTGGAGCAGCAAAGGAGGTGTATGCTCCCTGCGCTTCGCTCCTGTTAATATCATGGCTGCCGAGCGTTGGACTAGTTGGAGCTTCCGAGCCGTCTTCAAAGGCAACCCCACGTAGAGAGCGTTGCAGTAGTCTAAACGGGATGTAACCAGAGCGTGGACTACCGTGGCCAAGTCAGACTTGGTATCCTTACGAATGTCCCAGTCCTCAAACACTCTCTGCTTCATTCGGAAAAATGCTGCACTCGCAGAGCTTAGGCAGTGTTGTATTTCAGTGTCGATGTTGACTTTGGTGGAGAGGTGGTTGCCAAGGGAGCGGAAATGCTCAACATTTTCGAATGTTATACCATTAAGTTGTATTTCTGGCATTGGAGAGGGATTGGCCAGTGACTGCTGGAAGAGCACTTTGGTTTTCTCGATGTTCAATAACAGGCCGACCTTCTCATATGCCCTCACTGCGGGAGACGATGCAGATTAAGAATAGGGCTCCACAGTCAGTTACGGACCCACCAGAACACTGACCTTGGAGGACCATCCTACTCGGACATTGAGGGATCACCTAAGTAAGTTGGCATGCATCAGTGTCAGTAAATCACTTACGTTTCACTTTCTGAGGTATGTTCTTTTTGAATCCGTTGGATGAATTGTTCTTCAAATCCAGAGCTGTGAAGGATGAAAAGGAAGAAATCTCATTCTGCACCCACTTTCACCACAACTGGACAAAGACCATGAAATACCAGCTGGCCACAAGCAATGACTTTGAATAAGAACTCTTTAGTTATCCACATTACACTCTGATTTTCCTGTAGGGCCTAGATTCAAACTGTGAATGTGCCCATAATTTGCCATCTATTATTATTGTTGTTGTTTTGTTATTATTATTATTATTATTATTATTATTATTATTATTATTATTATATCATCCCAATGTTTCAAACTTAGGTGCCTTTTGGATAAGAGGGCTTCATTCTAATCCAAAGTATGGAGACATTTACACAAATGACCAGCCACTGCCAGAAGGGACAGAGAGTTTCATCTATGCCGATGATCATGCCATCACCGCTGAAGCAGAGAGCTTTGAAATGGCTGAACAGAAGGTCTCCAAAGCTTGAGTTGCTCTTACTGCCTATTACAAGGAAAGCCAGTCGATTCCTAATGTTTAACATTCACACAAATGACCAGCCACTGCCACAAGGGACAAAGAGTGTCATTTATGCTGATGATCGTGCCATCACCGCCCAAGCAGGGAGCCGTGAAATGGTTGAACAGAAGCTCCCTGAAGCTTTAGGTGCTCTTACTGCCTATTACAGGGAAAGCCAGCTGATTCCTAATGTTTAACATTTACACAAATGACCATCCACTGCCAGAAGGGGCAAAGAGTTTCATCTACGCTGATGATTGTGCCATCACCACTCAAGCAGGGAACTTTGAAATGGTTGAACAGAAGCTCTCCAGAGCTTGAGGTGCTCTTACTGCCTATTACGGGGAATGCCAGCTGATTCCTAATGTTTAACATTCACACAAATGACCAGCCACTGCCAGAAGGGACAAAGAATGTCATCTATGCTGACGATCATGCCATCACCACCCAAGCAGGGAGCTTTGAAATGTTTGAACAGAACCTCTCCGAAGTTTTAGGTGCTCTTACTGCCTATTACAGGGAAAACCAGCTGATTCCTAATGTTTAACATTTACACAAATGACCAGCCACTGCTAGAAGGGACAGAGAGTTACATCTATGCTGATGATCATGCCATCACTGCTCAAGCAGGGAGCTTTGAAATGGGTGAACAGAAGCTCTCCGAAGCTTTAGGTGCTCTTACTGCCTATTACAGGGAAAACCAGCTGATTCTTAATCCATCTAAAATTCAGACGTGTGCTTTTCATCGTAAGAACAGATGAGCATCTCGAGCTCTGAGGACCTACTGGGCTCTGTGTGGTGCTGGGTGAAAACGTGCTCTCAAAGCTAGAGTTTCTTTTTGTGTGTGTGCCGGGAGCGATTTGAGAAACTGCAAGTAGCTTCTGGTGTGAGAGAATTGGCCATCTGCAAGGATGTTGCCCAGGGGACGTTGCCCGGATGCCATCCTGTCAGCTCCAGCATGAGAAGCTGGAGATGACAGATGGGAGCTCATCCTGGTCCTTGGATTCGAACCGCCGATCATTCAGTCAGCAGTCCTGCTGGTACAAGGGTTTAACCCATTGTGCCACCAGGTCAACTAAATTACTTTGGTCCATGAGGCCAAACATCCCTGATGGTAAAATTTGGGGAGTCTGCCCTTTGGGGAGTCTATCCCCAAATTTGCTACCTGAAGAAGTGAGCTCATCTGCCTCAAGGGAGGACTGGCCCCAGTCATTAGGTCCTACACATGATATTGGGAGAAACTTGCACTTCCTTTCCGCTCCGACTTTCCACAGGAAAGAAAAGCACAGCAGGAATAACCTGTATCAACTCCACGATGGATCACCTTCACAACATGGATTTTCAAACCCCAAAACTTTCGGGAAGACTTATTTCCACCTTTCTTTATCCGAGAAGAAGCAACCAATAGTGAAAGGACCAAGGCAGTGACATCTCCAACCCATCCCCTGTTTGAATATCAGCCAGCATGCCAATGACTTAAATAAAGAAATAGTTTTCTAAGATCTACAGAGATGCTTGCAGGAACACCTCAGAAAGCCAGAGTCCAAAAGTGGCAGGCTCAAACCCGGAACCTCAATCCATGGCTGATACCAAATGAGAGACACATAGAAAACTGGGTGACTTGGAAGTTGCTGAACAGACTGCGCTCTGGCACCACGTGATGCAGAGCCAACCTTAAGAAATGGGGCCACAAAGTATGGAGAAGAGCAAACCACAGACCACCCCCCCTTCCCCCAGCACCAACTGAAGTCAGAGTGAAGAGGGGCAGCCAGGAAGACAGATTTCCACCATGTCTCCTGGGTCATCAGCTGGGAGCCCCTCCCCCCAGCAACAATACTACATCTGCCTGCCACCTCAGGAGGAGAAGGAGGAAATCTTGCTGCTTCTCTCCCCCTCCCCAAGCCAGCTAAGAGGAGGAAGGGGACTGAGGAAGAGACTTTAAAACACCTGTCTCCTGGCTGTTGCTTACTACATCTGCCTGCCACCTCAGAAGGAGAAGAGGGAAATCCTGCTGCTTCTCCTCCCCGCCTCCCAAGCCAGCTAAGAGGAGGAAGGGGACTGAGGAAGAGACTTTAGAAACACCTGTCTCCTGGCTGTTGCTTACTACATCTGCCTGCCACCTCAGGAGGAGAAGGAGGAAATCCTGCTGCTTCTCCTCCCCCCCCGAAGCCAGCTAAGAGAAGGAAGGGGACTGAGGAATAGACTTTAAAAACACCTGTCTCCTGATTGTTGCTTACTACATCTGCCTGCCACCTCAGGAGGAGAAGGAGGAAATCCTGCTGCTTCTCCCTCCGCCCTCAAGCCAGCTAAGAGAAGGAAGGGGACTGAGGAAGAGACATTAAAAACACCTGTCTCCTGGTTGTTGCTTACTACATCTGCCTGCCACCTCAGGAGGAGAAGGAGGAAATCCTGCTGCTTCTCCCTCCGCCCTCAAGCCAGCTAAGAGAAGGAAGGGGACTGAGGAAGAGACATTAAAAACACCTGTCTCTTGGCTGTTGCTTACTACATCTGCCTGCCACCTCAGGAGGAGGAGGAAATCCTGCTTCTTTCCCCCCCCCCCAAGCCAGCTAAGAGGAGAAAGGGGACTGAGGAAGAGACTTTAAAAACACCTGTCTCCTGGCTGTTGCTTACTACATCTGCCTGCCACCTCAGAAGGAGGAAGAGGAAATCCTGCTGCATCTCCCCACCCTCAAGCCAGCTAAGAGGAGGAAGGGGACTGAGGAAGAGACTTTAAAAACACCTGTCTCCGGGCTGTTGCTTAGTCCATCTGCCTGCCACCTCAGGAGGAGAAGGACTCTCCCCCTCCCAAGCCACATAAGAGGAGGAAGGGGACTGAGGAAGAGACTTTAGAAACACCTGTCTCCTGGCTGTTGCTTACTACATCTGCCTGCCACCTCAGGATGAGAAGGACTCTCTCCCTCCCAAGCTAGCTAAGAGGAGGAAGGGGACTGAGAAAGAGACTTTAGAAACACCTGTCTCCGGGCTGTTGCTTAGTCCATCTGCCTGCCACCTCAGGAGGAGAAGGACTCTCCCCCTCCCAAGCCACATAAGAGGAGGAAGGGGACTGAGGAAGAGACTTTAGAAACACCTGTCTCCTGGCTGTTGCTTACTCCATCTGCCTGCCACCTCAGGAAGAGAAGGACTCTCCCCCTCCCAAGCTAGCTAAGAGGAGGAAGGGGACTGAGGAAGAGACTTTAGAAACACCTGTCTCCTGGCTGTTGCTTACTACATCTGCCTGCCACCTCAGGAAGAGAAGGACTCTCCCCCTCCCAAGCTAGCTAAGAGGAGGAAGGGGACTGAGGAAGAGACTTTAGAAACACCTGTCTCCTGGCTGTTGCTTACTCCATCTGCCTGCCACCTCAGGAAGAGAAGACTCTCCCCCTCCCAAGCTAGCTAAGAGGAGGAAGGGGACTGAGGAAGAGACTTTAGAAACACCTGTCTCCTGGCTGTTGCTTACTCCATCTGCCTGCCACCTCAGGAAGAGAAAGACTCTCCCCCTCCCAAGCTAGCTAAGAGGAGGAAGGGGACTGAGGAAGAGACTTTAGAAACACCTGTCTCCGGGCTGTTGCTTCCTACATCTGCCTGCCACCTCAGGAGGAGAAGGACTCTCCCCCTCCCAAGCTAGCTAAGAGGAGGAAGGGGACTGAGGAAGAGACTTTAGAAACACCTGTCTCCGGGCTGTTGCTTCCTACATCTGCCTGCCACCTCAGGAGGAGAAGGACTCTCCCCCTCCCAAGCTAGCTAAGAGGAGGAAGGGGACTGAGGAAGAGACTTTAGAAACACCTGTCTCCTGGCTGTTGCTTACTACATCTGCCTGCCACCTCAGGAGGAGAAGGACTCTCCCCCTCCCAAGCTAGCTAAGAGGAGGAAGGGGACTGAGGAAGAGACTCTAGAAACACCTGTCTCCGGTCTGTTGCTTACTACATCTGCCTGCCACCTCAGGAGGAGAAGGACTCTCCCCCTCCCAAGCTAGCTAAGAGGAGGAAGGGGACTGAGGAAGAGACTTTAGAAACACCTGTCTCCTGGCTGTTGCTTACTACATCTGCCTGCCACCTCAGGAGGAGAAGGAGGAAATCCTGCTGCTACTCCCCCCCTCCAAGCCAGCTAAGAGGAGGAAGGGGACTGAGGAAGAGACTTTAAAAACACCTGTCTCCTGGCTGTTGCTTACTACATCTGCCTGCCACCTCAGGAGGAGAAGGAGGAAATCTCTCATGCCAGCTAAGAGGAGGAAGGGGACTGAGGAAGAGACTTTAAAAACACCTGTCTCCTGGTTGTTGCTTACTACATCTGCCTGCCACCTCAGGAGGAGAAGGAAGAAATCCTGCTGCTACTCTCCCCCTCCCAAGCCAGCTAAGAGGAGGAAGGGGACTGAGGAAGAGACTTTAAAAACACCTGTCTCCTGGCTGTTGCTTACTACATCTGCCTGCCACCTCAGGAGGAGAAGGACTCTCCCTTCCAAGCCAGCTAAGAGGAGGAAGGGGACTGAGGAAGAGACTTTAGAAACACCTGTCTCCGGTCTGTT